TTAAAAAAAAGAGAAAGAAATTGAGCCTCGGAATAAGAGATGGTGTTTTTCAAACTTTACCATCCATATTTAACAAGGAGGAGAAATGGTGCTGGGTCCACACCGTTTCGCGGGGAAAACAAAGCCAAGAAGTTCCAAAAATTATAATTAATAAATAAAGTATAATAAACAATTATAATTAATAAATGGTGTAAACCCAGCATCTTTTCTCCACCTTGTTACATACAGTCCGGGCCACTTCTTAGTGTTTTTTTTCCATCCATATTTATCATGTACATAAAATCGGGGCGCGCTCCGTGCGGCAAAGGTATCCGAACGCCGATCAAATCCTCTCGTGTGGGATATTTCCTTTTGTGGAGTTTTCCGCGTTTTTAATAATTGGAAAAGCCTCGCGAACGGGGAGAAAAATTGGAAAAGCGAGGCGGACGGGCAATCTAAGAGAACCTCTTTAGACGAAGAACCCCGCATCATTGCTCTCCATGGTCGTAGGTTTTCACCGGTGCATGCGAACGCCTTCGAAATTAAGATGGGCCACCCGGACGGCAAACCGGAGAGCGAACGCCTCCCTCGGCCCGTCGAGGGAGTTCGGCGGCGTTTTTGTTGCCATCCGGCAACATAGCGGAGCACCTCCGCGGGAACGCAAAATGGAGCCATTCATCAAAGTGAATTACTCAATGGCTGAGAAGTTTCATGAATCAAAATTATACGGGCATTCTTTTTGTATTTTTTAAAACCATCCCTTTACGAATTCGTGGAGTCTGTGTGAGCCGCGGCCAAGAGGAGACTCATTTCATACCTGTTGCGAGGTTCTTTGAGGCCTCTCCTAGCTCTGGGATTTGTAAAAACGTAGGTTTGATCGTTGCCTACGAGAATAGAGGCCATAACTAAGATTCTGTGACGTCACGCTAGTAGATGAAACTCGGCCGGGATTTAACACGTGTTCTTATGGAAGAACGCATGAATGCCCTCTACCCACCGTTTGGCTGGACGCCCACTCCGTCGTGAAACAGGAGTAACGTGTATTGAATTAGCCGAATGTTCCATAATGTCATTAATGATAATGAATGTAATCGCATTATTTGAATGAAAGTCTTCGCGTTAAGACAAGATGAAGGGTTTCTTGGGGTTTTTTTTCACTCAAATTCAGTGACTCTTATATGAAAATTAGAGGTTTTCATCTTCATAATTCTTTAATTTTAATTTTTTGCACGCACCATACCTATATTTGATTTGCCAAAATCTGACGAGGGAATTAATGGGATTTTTCGACATTTTTCAAGCAATTTCACTCACCGAGGGTATTGAAAACATCATTGTAAAAAATTGTATACAGCGAAGAAACTTTTTACAAGCAGATTTGGTTGCAAATTGTTTTCTTTGGTGCATTTTGCGTGCTTACCCAGCAGTGGAAAAATCTAACCCACAACGACAGGACAAGTCTAATATCTCGGCCACCCGTGAAATGAAAGAGAGCAAAAAAAACTTTGTTAGTGCTCAAGCTGAAAGGATGAACATCGAAAACTATCTTACAATCTTGCTCCATTTATATTATTTGCTGAGAGAAGAAGTAGTAAATTTTTTATCTGGATATCCAATTTTATAATTAATGATAACGGTACCAATGTGGCCTTAGACGAACAGCAGGTAAGATGGAACTTCGTTAATCACGATCTTTCGATGAAGGGGCGACGAAGATTCAATTGTCGATACATGGTGATACACTGGAAAAAAGCCTCTTGCATCCAGTGTCCAAAGTTTTACATCCAGAATCCAAAGTCTTAAAAATTTCAAGTTTTAAGTTAAGGCTCTCTCTTATAAAGGCAGACACAAGAATCCTCAAGGGCTATAGTAAATTAAAGAAAGAAAAATTAAACTGGGTATATTTTGAATTCTGCTTCATTGTGTCATTTGCGGTGTTAAGAAGTTATAAGTTCTAAATGTCAAGTGTCGGTTCTCTCCGACAAGTTGTGTGGGGTCCCTGGCTTTAAGACAAGAGAATTAATAAAATTCCTAGAGGTGAATGATGAAGCGCAAATGAGCTGAAACCTTGAATTGAGATTATTGAAATCTGTCTCGTTAACAATAATAAATACTAACGATAGCTTGAACACCGATGCATTGAACAAGTGGGTATACTGAAAGAATCGTGGATCAGCAGTTTTCTCTTTGTTTGTGCAGCACCTGTGATCAGCGATAATTTGGATCGTTTTTCCGCATTGTCACAGAGAGAAACTATCTACCTTGTGTGAGTGAGCTGTTTTCGCGTTTAACTTGACCCACATTTAGTCGTTAGAGTCGCTGTTCAATGAACTGTAATGAGTGCGCATCAAACAGAGGCTGTCTCTCTCACATTTTGAATTATTTAGATGGATGGATCACTTTCCTCTTCATGGACGAGGATTTTAACACCTGTATTATTTAGAGAAATGCGTCGGTGGAACCCTGAAATGTACAAATAAATAACAGATGAAGGTTGTGGTAAATCAAGACAAGATACCAGGGTGGCATGAAACGTGAGAAAGAAATGAAAGATTGGAAATTTCAGTGAAAAATTTAATCTCGAGGACGATCTCTAATGAAATTTCACGAGGCTGGGAAATATTTCAAATTTCTCACGGGCTAGAGTATGCAACCCGCACTCAAACACACAAAAATAGATGAAAGTCACAATCATTACATTTTTCGAAACACGAAAACGAACCGGCATTTTTCAATATCTTTCATAAATTTCTGAAACATGAAACACTGAAAAACATTTTCTGAAACACAAAATTAGGACTAATGTATGTATATAAATCAAAGTCTAAATTCAGTGAAACAAAAGTTATAACTTGCCAATCGTAAATTTTTTCTTCAACATCGTGAGAGAACATGTTGGAAGTTTGGCAACGCTGTAACGTCAAAAATTGTTCAATTTTGCAAACTGATAGACCGATAGAAACAAAATTACGTCTACTTTCAGAATATGTTTAGTTTTTGCCGAAATCTGTAGTTGTTCTTACGTTATGAGCTTTGAGGCGTTACTTTTGTCTTTTGCCCACTTTTTGGAGGCCTTGCAGTATAGGGTTTCTAAAATTGACTACATTTTGCTATTAGGAACTATAAATTCCGGTTAGGCTTAAAAACAACGTATGTGCAATTAGTTCCCCTGTGCACATAAGTGTTTTTTCAGATGAGCCAGAATTTATAGCTCCAAATTGCAAAATGCAGTCCAAATATCTTTCCTTCGGATGAGGCGTCAGGTTTTGACAAATGGCGAATGAGATGTTAATTATCGAGGTACTTGAAATGACCATGCTTACATTTAAGTGTCATATGCATCGAGCGTAATGATGCATGGTTCCTCGCGCTGAATATACAATTTGGTGCGGACGAGTATCGTTCAAACGTCCATGCGGTGAAAGATGGATTGTGCTTTTCATATGAGAAGAAAATCTTATTGCGAGAGCAGTGATCTCAGGAAAATTAGGAATCCATCCACTACTCAGCAAATCGTGCCATGTTACGCAGGCCTGAGTTATATATCGACGGTGAAACTACCAAACCACGTATCTCGGTTTGCGACGTTGCAGACTTCCTGTCATACTTTATTTTTTAAATAGAAAACTACTCAACGTCAATTCGTGAAAACTTCTGCGATTTTTCCTCTTTGTGCGGAGAAAAATCTGTGAAAATTGTAAGGAATGCTATTGATTTGATCTCCTCCAAAAAAATAAAATGTGAGTGGAGATTTTTAAACACCGCAAACGAGATACGTGGTCTGGTAGTTTCACCGTCGATATGCAGTACGACAGAAGAATACACGGAAAAAATCAAATTGCTGATTTAACATTTAAATTGCTAAAAAAGAGTGACTACAATATTTCAACGTAGATTTCACAACACAAAAATGCTAATTTAACCACGGGGGTGGTTAAAGTAGCATTTTTGTGTTGTCAAATCTACGTTGAAATATTGCAGTCACTTTTTTTAGCAATTGAATTGTTGAATCAGCAATTTAATTTTTTCCGTGAGTCAGAAAGATTAACGGATTCCGGAGTTATGAAATTGCAAAGCCACACAAATGGACTTCATTTTGCAATGGGGACTACAGTAATTCGAATAATCGCGCCAAACACGGTGCAGTTGGCGTCAAACTCATATCAGCGCCTGTAAGACTGCGGGAATACTTCATGCATTGCGCCAAACAGTGCGATCGGCGTCAAACGCATGTTAGCGCCTACAAGACTGCATGAATACTTCTCGCATTGCACCAAACGCAATACGAGAGTTATTATTTGCGATAACTGAAGATGACTCGACACTCGACCGCACTCCCTTCCCTGGCTTGCGCGACGCTAAAATCGCCGCAAAACTAGATCCCCGCGTCATTTCTTTTGACGGTCCCTGCCCGGTTTTTACCCCAATCAAAGGGTAAAAAACGTATCTAAGTAGCTGGTTTTGCGAAAGCTCTTGGTGCTTTATTTTATAGAGGAAAAACGTGAGAATGTTTAGCAAAATATTTGAGATCGCAATTCTGTTGTCAGGAGACTAAAGAATTCACTTACCAATTTTGACAAACAAATTCATCGTAATATAGGCTTGGTTTTTTTAGAGGGAAAACATTGCATTCGAGTGCAGTTTCGATATCATTATCGAATGTGATATCTTTATTAAGGCGAATTTTTTTGTCAAAATTAATAAGTAAATTCGTTAGTCTCCTGCCAACAGAATTGCGATCGCAAAATTCGAAAAAATTACAAGTAGCTGAGAAAATGGTGCTAATCGATGCGATGTATCACATGTCGTTCTGACACAAAATATAGCGTTTATCGAATCACCTTGAAAATAAAATATCGCAATTTTTCCGTTCAAATATGCCACTCAGGTTACTCCACTAAACGATTCATTCAAGCATGCGTATAGTTCGCGCGCCGTAAATTGGGGTCGTTAGTGAAGTTTTGCGTGTGAATTACGTCGATTCAATAACAATTTCGTAATTTAATTGCATGTTTATGTTTTCTTGCAGATACTGCTATGCAGTGGCCACCACTTCTTTTGAGCTGCGTGGTCATAGTGACCACATCCATGATTGAGGCGTACAGCTTGCAGAGAAAAAATGTCTGGTCACCGAGCAGAGCGGCCGTTTGGCTTTCGCCCCTTCTTCAGTCGGAACCAGAATTAGCACACCAATACACCAATAACGAAATCGAAAGTGGTAATGTACTTTATAATTTTTTTTATTCCTCATAATAGACTGATTTAGTGGCTACGTCGCTCGATATAATATCGAACTCTTGGTTCAAATGTACAAACATGTGCATGTACAAAACATGTACAAACAATGTACCTCGTCTCTGATTCGCGCCCTTTGCGCCATGGTGGTAAAATACGTCCAATTGATTCTTACAATCCAAGTTTCTTGCGTTTAATGAGTTTTCAATAGATTTATAACCGGCCAATGACTGAATTTTAATAAATTAACACAATTAACTCATGAAGAAATCGTACACGAGGTTAAATTAATTTGTTTTTGTTTGAATTAAGAGTCCGATATTATATCGAATGATGTAGTCACTGAATCAGTCCATTCACGTAAACAAACAGATAGATCGTATTAGATAGTGGTTCGATGTATTGTTTGATACAAGACAATGGAACATAAACTCAAACAAAAATTTTAGGATTTAATGAGAAAAAGCAGAAAATGAGAAAATTCCTGACAATCTCATACTTTTTATTGCCATCTTTTACCCATTTGAATAAAAAATCTATCACGAGATACCTGTTCCCTCAGATTACTCAATTGACTTTTGAGGCTATATGTTTACATGTTGAACCAATCGATGTCGATATAATCGCACCTGTCTGATGTAGCAAAGAAGGTCCTGCCAAAGTATTTGATGAAAAGTACTTAAAACTATAATAATAATCTAACATACCAAACGATCCTTTTTCGATCCTTACAATAACCGATTACAATGCGCTAACATGAACGATTTACTCGAGGAATAGAATAAAATTCAAGACCCTTAAAACCCATAACACATGACAGATAAGGTCTGTAGCAACGGGACCTCAGTCATTGCATTTTTAAATTTCATCTTACACCTTAAGTTAGCATGTTCTTAAGTACATTTTAATGGCAAATTTGGCTGGCTAAGCAGTATAGAACATAGCAATTGATTAAAAAAGCCAAAATAAACAAGTAATACTTCAAACTACATACACATCGATGAGAAATAATGTAGCATTTACAAGACACAAAGCAAACGTTTCGACTGCCTACAAACTGTGATCTTCTTCAGTGTGTAAGGAACAATCATCGGAAATATCATCATCATAATCCTCATAAAAAAGAAATTAAAAAGCTACAAAACTATTAGCAAACCATGCGGAAATACAAAATTTTTGGCAACCATATCTTGGAATAAAACATCTTCATTTCTAATCTATGTATATGTAGTTTGAAATATTACTTGTTTATTTTGGCTTGTAGCTCGACTTTTTTTTAAATCAATTACTATGTTCTTAAGAAGGGTCTGAACAAGCCACCAAGTGCCCTAATTCATACATTACTCAAAGTCCGCGGCCTGTTATGTTTAACGCAGTAGTGTATGCAACGCAATCATGCACCATTTGACCACGAATGGTTTTGTCAAGTGCAGCGTAGTGACTAGGAAAGGTAGAGCGCCTGCAATTGTTGTGCATGCAGCATGGACGTCCCTCGAACACGAATAGTTGCATCCAGACATTGTCTTTGAAAGAAGCCGAGCGCCTTCAATGGAGATGTTGCATGTGTGAGGAATTTGCGATTTGACTGTCGATTCTTATGCAAAAGTTCACGAGAAACACGATGGTGCCACTGGTTTTTTCTGAAATCAACTCCCAAGCTCAAAAAAAGCTCTCAAGTTGAGGCCAAAATGGAAGGGATATCCCACGCTATCCTGAGAGTCCACCTCTACATCAAGACAAACTCCCCATGCAAAGATAGGGAGCAAATACATTAGCAAGGTTGCCGTATTTTCAGTTTTGGAGTCCCCAAATAAAGTGGCAGCCCTGTCATTGTATTTGCTCCCTATCTTTGCATGGAGAGTTTGTCTTGATGTAGAGGTGGACTCTCAGGATAGCGTGGGATATCCCCTCCATTTTGGCCTCAACTTGAGAGCTTTTTTTGAGCTTGAGAGTTGATTTCAGAGAAAACCAGTGGCACCATCGTATTTCTCGCGAACTTTTACCTAAGAATGAACAGTCAAATCGCAAGTTCCTCACACATGCAATATCTCCATTGGGATTTCGTTAGAATGGAAACTGGTTGGAGGTAATTTAAAGTATGACGACGTTTGGGTAAATTTTTCTGGCGGATTTTTGGTGTGGGAAATTGAGGACGGCAGCAACATTTCAAGCCATTGATCGGGGGCACTTTCGATTCCCGAGTCAACACTGACCGGCTGACCTACAACGTGCAGTGGATTAACCACGTATTGAGCTCAATTTTCTAATTTCACGCGAGATGAAAAAAATCCGTTCCCCTCCTACAGCCTGAATTATATTGCATTCGCTCCCTCTCAGATGCGTGTTGTATCCGACCTCTTGTCACATTTGGCTTGAAAATGAAATTTTGAAAAAAAAAACTCAATTCATCGCCAGTTTATTACCTGGCTTCAAAAAGCTTCTTTTTTAATTATTCACTAAAAGAAAACACATTGGATCTAGAGTCCAGACTCTTAAAAACATCGACAAGCAAAAGTACTCTTGATTCGATCAGAATCTAGCTTAAATCTTGAACCAAACCTCTTAATTTAAGCGGACTTCGTTTTGATTCAAGCAAAAATCCGATTGAATCAAGAGTATTTCTTCTTGTCAATGTTTTCAAGAGTCTGGACTCTAGATCCAATGTGTTTTTTTCCCCAGTGTTTATTCATTTATTTATTCCCGTGATCATCCATAGAAAGAGAAGCGCAGCAACCACAAAATGATAATGCTTTTTCGAATGAGTTTGTTGAGAAACACAGTTCCACGAAAAAGCAGCGTTTGAAATTCTAATTAATCATTTTCAAAGCCGGAAACTGCCAGATCATAGTGCAACACTTGTCAGTGGCGATTCTTAAAAGTTGGCAGCACTGGTTGTCCACCATTTGAATCCATTGAAAATATCGATATTAGGAGAGGCAAGCTGCCGCATCAAGAATCGATTGTTTACATGCATTTTAAACGGAGGAAAAACAGCGTTGCCAACTTTCAGGAATCGCCACTGCCTCTTTGTGGCTCAGAAATGAAATAAACCGCTCGTAACCTACTTTGTGACACACCGGGGAGAATTTTCCTATAGAATCTCAAAATCTCATTTATTAACCAAACTTGACAAAACCATCGCACGTGCTGAACAAATTTATTCCTATGGACAATCATCCTTTTTTCTATAGACAGTCACACACAGATCGACGGTGAAATTGCAGGAACGCGCGCAGATCGTTTGTGCTGTTTTGCAGTCTTCGCTTCCATTTTATTCCATCCGATAAAAACAAACAAACGACACTGTTCGAAATTTTCACAGAATATTCTTCACTTAGAGAAGAAAAATTAAGAAATTTTTCAGGAAATGACGTTGATTTTATCTCTAGAAAAATAATAAAGTATGACAGTCTGCAGCGTCGTAAACGGAGGTGCACGTTCCTGTAGTAGGATCGCTGACACTCACAATCAGCCGTGCTTGGGAAAAAACCCGTATTTACATTCAAGGATTGCCGCAGTTGATCCAATAAAATGTCCAGGAGAATTATGAATATTTTCTCCTGAAATTTTCACATAATTTACATCTGATTGCTAATAAAATTTCTGAAAAATTGGAGGAACGATATTCACAGATTTCCCTAAAAATTCATTTTGTAACAATAACTTTGGCAAAGTCTGATGGCTCATACGGCTATCTTGCTTAGCACGGCAGTATGGATTACGTAACAGAGACTATTGCGCGTAACTTAGTGACAGATCTACACTGAAAAAAAAGTTCGGTAAATTATGGAACCACGATTTTGTTCGGTACACACAACCGAATTATTTGGTCTGTTCAACCGAATTGTTCGGTTTGTGCGACCGAACCATAATAAATTCTTACAGTTCGGTTCAGTGGACCGAACAGTTCGGCTGAGCAGACCGAATAATTCGGTCGTGTGTACCGAACAAAATCGTAGTTCCATATTTACCGAACTTTTTTTTCAGTGAGGGACAACTCTGCCGTGCTAAGGAAGAACGCCGTATGAACATTTGAGAGTTGCCAAATTTTCTCCGATTAAATGTTTATTTTTGAGGAAAATTGTCTATACTTTTCCTTGAAATTTTCATACTTTTTAGATCAAATTACGAGCAAAATTACCCGAGAAATTGGAAGAAAAATATTTACAAATTTCCATAAAAATTGTTGATTTGTGAACGGAAATTTGGCAACGTCTAAAGGCTCATACGGCGTTTTTCCAGCAAATGGGAACGAGAATGGTACCTTAGTACAATTTATTGACGTGGAACTGTCAGACCACGTACCTCGTTTGCGGTGTTTAAAAATCTCCGTTCCTATTTTATCTTTTGGAAGAAGTTCAAATCAATATCATTTTGTGAAGTTTTTACTGATATTTCTTCGCACAGAGAAGATAAATCACAGAAATTTTCAAGAATTGACGTGTAGTAGTTCTCCACTTGAAAAATAAAGAATAACAGGAGGTCTGCAAAATCGCAAACCGAGTTACGCGGTCTGGAAGTTTCACCGTCGTCATGTCCTTAATGTGGAGGAAGCGATTGATTAAACAACAAAACGCTAATTTGCGAATACCCTCTGTCAATAGTAACATACCATGCTGGTTTTGCTTTCAGATACAGGTTCTGATCCAGAGTCCGTGGTGATGGAGCAGATAGCCAAAAGGGCGTTCACCACGATTAGTAGGTGGCAACCGAGCCAGAAAGAAGAGCAACGAATGAGGACCAGGTCACTGGTTTCCCTGATCCCGAGCTTCAACATTTTAGCTTCCATCCAGAGGAAAACGCGGCAAGGGGCTCAAGAAAAGTACCGAAGACCCATAGGACTGCCCCTCAGATGGGGCTGACCCCGGAATAAAAGAGCCCTCCAGAATCGAAAACTCCGCTGAATTACACTTTTCTTATTAGTTTTAGCATCTAGTTTTATCTTCGTAAGAAACTCTGTTTAACTGGATTTGGTACCTCAATTGTTAAACGAATTATTGTGCAATATTACTAGCTACAACGCAGACATCTGGAAGCTACCTGACATCTCCAAAGTCAATAAATCTAGTCCTTAAACATAATATCATCACTCCGACTGATATGATACATTATTACACCTAATTTTCAATTAAAGAAGAAAACATTTATTGTTGACTGTACCATGTATACTTATTAACAGATCATAGGTAGTAATTGAACCTTATTGATTTATCAGCAATGCAGGCTGAATTTCCCCAAAAAAATCGTAGCATGCATTTTACAAATATAGTTCCGTATCATCTAACCATGTTCGTAAAAATTTCAACCATTAATTTTTTTCTTTGCGTCCAATTCCAAACTTTTTCATATTCGGCAATATGCTTACGTTGACTGCTCACAGTCTATTTGTCTAAGTTTACACCATCAAGCAGTATGACCATGTGTACCTTGTCCTTCGTTGTTTCTGAGGAGCAGGTTTTGTCCGAACACTTTTTTTTTTAGAAGAAATAGCAAATTTTAGCCAACTTTTTATGCTTTTTTTTTCCTCCTACATTTTACCTCAGAATTCTCTCCTTAAGTTGAAAGCTTACGGAGAGTCTGATACAAGGAGGTTTTAGTCAATATAGCCTAATCAATATAAAATCTGCATTGTGAGATAACTTCTTTGAAAAGTTGAAAGAAACGGAATTATACCTACAAAATGATATATTATAAAAATTTGAAATCCCTCACTCCTTTAAAAATTTTTGAAAATAAAAAAAATTGACTTGAATCGCTCGTATTTTATTCCTACATTCAACACTTGCCTTAAAGTAAATTCCTCAAACTCAGGATAGGTAGCGATATACTCCTATTTTTCAAAACCAGTTCATCGTGACTCATAAACCGAATAAATTGCACAGTCAAAAGACTTGACAATGAGAGGCGTGGTGTGCTTTGCGATATATCGACTGATCTACCATTCAAACCTATGGGAAAGGATCGATAAACAGGGTGTCTGCAACGAACTCCTTAATAATCGATTCTTTACCATGGCTTCAAAACGGAGAAATATCCAGAATCGATCATTCACGCCTCGCCACTGTTGTCAATAATTTTGAACATTATGTGAAAATAAAGGATTTCATAGGAAGGACAATATGAGAACCTTTATGAGGTAAAAAAATTTTTAGAGTAAAGTTGAAATTCGTATGCAAAAAGAAAAAGAGACGTTTGAGCAAAGCAAATTCAATTCGGACCAAATATTTCATCGTGCTGAAATTAAATAATGTGTCATTTACGCTGTGGCGCTGTGGTAATTTCGCGCTTGCAGGAATAAATAAAGAGCCTCCCAAAATTTTGCCCCTTTTTCGGTATTTGATTCGACCATCGAACCAAGGTTTGAGTGGAAGCTAATAATGACAGAACTTCGGGAAAAAATTTCAAGATGAGTATAGGAACCGTTTTCGAGTTATGGGGAGGCAAGGGGTCAAACTCCGGCCTTTAGTTTCGCTAATTTCTTGTTGAATTGATGTGTGTACGGGGTTGTTATCGTTGTTTACGCATGTTAAACACACCGGTTCCTACGTACATATACACGCAAAACCGAGTTTTAATGTTGACGAGTCGATATATCGATCGGTTATATCGAGTTTTTAAGATTCCTCCTAGGAGGAACTCCTAAGGAGAAAAAAATAACACAGAGGCGGAGATTTTCAGACACCGCAAACGAGTTATGTGATTGCCGACTTACACTGTCGCTATGTCATTCTGAAGGTATTTTTCCCAGGTTTTGCGTGAACAGTTTTGAGTTTTGAGAACAGTCCGTAGTAGGGCACGATTGTTAAAAAGCAAGTCACAAGACATTACCTAGAAGTCAGTTTTTTCCGCTAGTGGTCTCTTAAACATGGTGGCAGTGCCGAAGCGTGTCAAAGGAAAACCGAGGCTTTAAAAAAGGGAAACAAAAGATGCTGCAAAATAAAATATTTGGTACTTCTTGAGTCGTTGAACATGTTTATACTCTGAAATTATATTTAACTTTCGGGATTTTCCTTTGGTTTAATTTTATTAAATTGCGGATTTTGTGCGCTCAAGAAATGACTAATACCTGGAATTTTTTTTTAATAAAAATGTCCTTAACAACCTATAACTCCTTCATCCAGATGCGCCCTTTCATAAATATTAATTGAGCCGAACAAGCTTGGAAGAAAAGGTAGTAATAGAAGGAACGTTTGAAGGAAAAGAAGAATAAATAACATGCGGATATTTTCAGCTCCTCCCTCAGTTTGGCGTTTTCTTCTTGTCAAAAATAGCATCTTTTCCACGTGAAATGAATGTTTAAAATATTTCAGAGGCTAGAGTAAAGTTATGATTCTTTTTCTCTCATAAAGTAAGTGTTATCAAAACCCCACGATCGACCCTACCAGATACCTGGGGATTGGTTGAAAGATGAACAAAATTCCAATTTTAGTCACGTAAACGTAGTCCATGCGTGAAGTGCAGTATTTGCATGGAGATAGAACCCCTCTCACTGCAAAAAGAACTACGTGAAATCTCATGCACTGCTTGGCTTGAATAAAAACTCTGAGTGTGAGTTTAATACACGGTAAAAATGAAATGATAATCGCGCGGGCACACTCACAAATATGAAAGTGAAATGGCGATAACGTAGAAAGGCAAAAATGCAACTTACTTTACCATATGTTGGGTATAAAATATCAGTCGTGAAACTAGATACCATCTGTTATTTATAGAGTGGATTAAGGAGGAATGGATCGAGAAGTTACGCAGTTAACTACTTAATCATATCAAGGAGACGCACAGCTACGGAGGCGGAAAAATTCAAAGTGCCTTCATTTTTCTGCGTATGCAACGCTAATTACCATTTTTTGTGTGTAAATGAGCATTTTCATCAACGAAATTGGGAGCAAGTTATTTCGTCAGAAAATTAAATACCACTCTTCTACAAAAATCTATTTGTTTAATGAGTAATATAATTAAGTACTTAGGAATTGAAAGAATTATAGTTTTCCGGAAAAAGCCGTAATTTTTGCAAATTTGAGTTTTCGACCGTTTACATTCTTAGCGAAATCAATAAACGGGAAGTTGAAAGGCACTATAGTATATTGAAACAATGATTCATTTTCAAACCCTTTATGCAGAAAATAATATCCTGTCAAATTTAACACTAAAATGATCCAAAAAGACATAGCGCCCTTTCAGCTTTGTTTATATTCAAAGGCATTTCTCAGGCATGAATAGTTCCTTCACGTATCATGCCTGGCACATCGCTCTGTCAAAAGTGAACCACGGAAGATCGTGAGATCTTTTGTGATTCCACGCCTGTGCACAACTATTCGTGCCTAGGAGATATCTTTGCAAAATAAACAAAGAATGGAAAGCGCTTTGTCATCTTGGGTTCTTGCAGTAAAGCCCGCCGCCGCGCTGCGGGTTAAAAGATGAGTACTTGGACGGTCAAAACGCCTTCACTTCAGTGCGTATATGCAATACGGACATCCATGGAGACCGAATAGTTGCATCCACGACTTAAAATGAATGTCCGTCGCATTCTCGCATCGGACACTAACTGACCAGCGTTGCATATTGTGCCGATGAAGTAAACTATTACTGATTTTTATCGCGACATTGTCAATTTTCTGAATAATGCTTTAATTTTTTAAATATATAACAACGTTTCCGTCGTTAAGCGTGGACTGTGGCTCTTACCCTCTCTGATCTAAGAACGACACACGCAGCAAATAAGTCGCTTCACGGTCACTTCTGGAAAAATTCCAGCGCGTATATTCGTCTTTTGTTATAACATTTCCAATAGAGAATTTGCAGGTATCTAAAATTTTGTGATTACCATCTTTAAAATGATACTACTAAGAAAACTGAATACTAATATATCCTTGGTTTCTAAATTGGTCGATTATTGGAGAAAATATGACAAAATAACCTGATCAGCTAAATAACATGTGTTTGAATGGAGAATGCCGGCAGATGACGTCATAAGGCGGCACATTTTCTCACACTTTTAAATCTACTTTACTTCAATTTCTCATGTCAGAAAAAATGATGAAAAATACTACGAACTCAGCTCACTTAGCACTCTCAAGGATTGCATTTTGCGAAAAGGAACCAGAAGCATTGAAATGATGCTAAGGTTGTGCATTTTCATCCTTTGCAATAAAATTACAGAAATCTTGAAAAAATATGATATTTACATGGTAATTTTTGTCTTAAATTTACAGTTCTGAGCGAGTAAGAGAGAAACCGTCAATGGATAATCAGGTTTTTCTTCCAAGCCAAAAGAAGTTGCACAATCTTTGCTACACCGCAATGCTCCTGGTTTCTTTTTGCAAAATGCAATCCAAATGAAGAAACAACAGTTTTGTGTGCAAATTCTCCATTCGTCGGGATTAAAAAACGACGGCCTGGCGTCGTGGTGTTCGTTCGCTCATCGCGTCGCGGCGCCAGCATTTTCCCCACGACGTGATGACGGCGACGCGGCGTCTGGTCACACCGGGCGCAGTTCGGCCTCCCGTTGCATATCGATGAACTCCCCTCCCCTACGAGGCGCAACATAAGCGCGAGTGAATCCGAAAGCGGGAGCGCGGCATCGCCGCGACGGCGATTACCCTGCGCGGACGGAGGGTCGATAAGGGGCTTCAAAGATGAGAAGGGTCCGAGGAGGAAAAAAAGAATAAAGACATTGACAGTAGGTCGAATGAGAGAATTTTGCGACCATCTCGATTTCACGGTCAGCCGAGTATAAATCAACGTAGAGGAGTCGCGCGGCTCGCTCGCCAGACGGTCCGCCGTGCTAAGGAAAACCGCAGTATGAACCATCAGGCGTTGCCACATTTCCTTTTCATAAAACACGAATTTCCCGGTAAACTTACGAAAATTTCCCCTCGAATTTTTCCGACGATTTTGTTCACAATATCATCTAGGGTTCCTGAAAATTTAAAGGGGAAATGTTTATAACATCACTCGGAAATAAACATTTTATCGGTGGAAATTTGGCAACTCTAGAGTGTTCATACGGCGTTCGCTAGAGGTGTACCGGGTTATTCTTCGATGGACGGCGGTGCGACCCCGGCGAGTGGCAACCGCGGGGCGACATCAAAGACGCGCCTGAATGATCCTCGGCATACCGCACGCAGCGCACCAGCCCCAAGGTTACTCCGCGACCCCATTGAACATAACTTTTAGAGACGTTATTATCCCCGTAGAGTAAATATCGCTCATGCCGTGCTGTGGTGAAGCCTCTTCTTCCCGAGACACTGTGGATGGGAATCGCCATCCTCTATGAATAGGCTCTTTGGACTCGCTTTCAATGAGAGTATTCGACGGATGACAATTTATATGTCGCAGGCAATTAGTCAAACCGTCGCTCCTCTGACGTAAGGGCGTATCTCGATTTTCGCGTGAGCCCTGTTACGAATGGACTGCATTTTGCAATTTGGACTTATAAATTCTGACTCATCTGGAAAAACACCTATGTGCAGAGGGAAACTAATAGCACATACATTGTTTTTAA